TGTTTTATGTTGTAAAATATTAATTTATTTTTTCTATATTTAATCTGTACTGGGTAAGAGGTTGCTCTCTCACACTTGGGGGAGAAGTTCTGTGTTTCAGGTATCTGTAGGCCTAACTCCATTAATACTATGGTCAGGTGAGCTGGTGGTTGTTTTTTGTCTGGGTGTTTGGTTGGTTTGGGGGTTTTTGGTTTTTGCAAAATGGGCTTACAGTAAAGAGATATGAAGGGTGATATGTATTATATATACTTATATGTAATATCATGATGTTATATATATTATGTAATTATGAAATTGAAAAGCCAACTGCAGTTATGGTAAAATAAGAATAATGAAACTCTTTGGTAACTCTGAAAAAGCATCCTATAGTATTTAACTAGCAACAAAATTATGTGGACACTAATATGTGGTCCTTCGTCAGACCCTATAGATAGACAATGTATTTCTGGCCTGTGAAATCTAGGAATTTATATCCGCATGGGTTAAAGGCCATCAGGCTTAAAGTGTTGAATTTTTTTTTTTTTTTAATTAGAATTAGAAGCTATATCATCTTTCCAAGTTAGTGTGCTATTCTAACAGCTGAAAACTATAAACACCATGGTTTTTCTGATGAAGTATTAATGTGTTAAATTTGCACCTCAACTAGAAGCATCTTGTGCTAAAGTTTAATAAAGTGATGATGGCTAGTTAGTTTGCCAGGATTCAGACAAAATTCTGAGAAAACTGGTTGTGTTTTAGCAAAGAGGCATAGGTCATATTGCACTCTTCCTCCTTGATGCCTCTCCATTTGGAGGCTTTCAGATTGTAGTGGTATTCTTGGTCTTCAAGAACATTTGTGACTCAATATGCTCTCTGCAAGAGTTCTTGCCTAGAAGTGGCTGCGAGCCTTTCATTTTAAGAGAGAAGAGGTTAAAAACTTTGCAGAAGGAGAATTTGGTCATGTTCTAAAAAATCTGAAACCTGTGTTTCATTTAGGATCTGCTGGTTATGCAAGTGCATCTCCCTCTTGGTAATTGTTTGTTACCTGTCCTAGGATGATACTCATCAGACAGCAATGGCTTCTGATCATTGCTCATTGGCCTTTGTGGGGTTGGTTGCTGGCCTTGCCAGTCACTAACTTGTCATTATTAATTATTCTTACAAACTCGTTACTAAATGTTATTTGTTTGCAGAGCAATTGCAAACATAGATGATGGTGTCCATGAGCACGGATGGATCCTATGGGCTTGTTCCTCCCTTTGTGTTTGCCTTTCAAATGCGTAGGAGCAAAGAGAAGTTTGTAATCAAATGCTGTTTGAAGGACTGTTTCGTAGTTACTGCTGAGCATGGAAATATTGGCATAAATTAAAGCCAGAGGAGCTTATGCTCTTAAGGGTAATGGCCAACACATTTGAGAGATATGGTAATTTCAATTATAACTAGTGGGCCTCATTGTACATATTGAAGATACAGAGGCTATAGAAGGTATTTGCCTATGTTCAACAGGAAATTAATCCAAAGACAAGAGTAACTTTAAAAAAGCCTGTGGAGCCTGAATAACTCTCCACTGCATGCTCAGGGACACACAACTGACTTGGCCTTCCTTTTGGTTGGTTATACTTAAAGCAGAGGTGGCCATAGTTTAGTTTGAGAGGGCCCAGGAACTGGTTAAAATGGTCTCATTTTTCCACTCAGTGCACTTCTTTAAAAAAATCTGACCCTGGGAGCAGAACTCTTTAAAGTTTCAAAGAATAAAGCAAGGATGCTAGCTAATTTTTAAGTTTCTGTTTAGTAACCTTTTCAAGTATTTGGTACATTGCATAAAGACAGTTTCGATGCTAGATACACTGCAAAGGTTTTAGGAATGTTACATCATTTATTACTGTTTAAAACCTTATTTACTCAATTTGTTTCATTTTTCTCATGTGTAAGCGAAGAAAATATTTACTTTGTTCAAAAGTGGTTTCTGGAGCTGAACTTAATTCATATGTGTAACTAGATTTGGTGTTTGGAAGGTGCCATACAATCATTACTTATTAATAGCAGGACCTGCAGAAGCAATGCATTATTTATCTTATGTTATCTGTGGAAGACTTGCAACTATTTTCTTGTGTTTGGACTAAAAATGTTCAAATGTGTTGTCAGCTGACTTAATTTTTTCTGTGCTATACCACCAAATACATAATGGGAGATTATTTTTAAAATGGCATTATGCCCTTAGTCACCTTCCTTAAACCAATGTGTAAAATAGTGGGAAGTGAGGACTGATGTGCCTCTGGTTTCAGTGGGAGGGCTGGATACTATCTATTGACTAGGACAAGATGTGGAGTAATGCGCTTAGCCAGGATAGAGATGAAAAAACCAAGTTGTTCCCAGAGAGAGTATCTCCAGGTGTGGGGCTAGAAACTCTTCAAAGCTAGAATATATAAAGTTTTTCCCTGATAATTCATTCAAGCATTGGGATTTCTTTCACTGCAGAACAAGCTTAAGGCTTGGCCCACTAAACTCCTAGGAAAACTGTTAGGATGGCTATGGAAGCCAAGGTCACCCTCAGAGAGATTTAATGCTGCTCTGCTGTGTGCCAGTCCCCATGGCCCTTTCAAAGAGCTGTGTTCCCGTGGTGCCTTTTTGCTGCAGCCACCTCAACTCCCCTAAAGGGGGTTTCAAATGATGGAGGGGAAAAAAACCTGCACAGCACACTGTAAATTAATGCTGACAATGTCAACATTAATTTATGCCAGAAACGCATGAGGGATAGAGGGTGGAATGAGTGATAGCGAAGAACACACAGTATTTCCTGTGTCCTGCTCTCCTAGAGCACCTGGGGAAGGGCTGCCACAGCAGTGGTGGATCACAGCACAGAGCCAGTACTCTTTCCCTCTCTGAAATGCTTACTTTGTGGCCTCCTGCACAGACAGGATCACTGGGTCACTGCTCACAAAGATGGCTCAGTTCAACACAGTTGCCATTAGAATGTATTGAAAAAAATAAGTACGTGGCTCTAGCATTGCAACTCCTACAGTGAACAAAGTTCTGTTGCTAGTCCCAGGCATGTCGAAATTGAGGTTTGTTAGCAACAGTGAAGAAGGCCTCTGATATTTTTGGATCACTACTAACACGGTAAGAATCTCCAAAACCAGTATAAACTGGAGAACTAAGGGAAAAGACAGGACCTAAACATACTGAGGGAATTCTGTCTCTGGTACTCTTGGTCATGAATAAGTGTAAGGCATTCATCAAAGTGTTTAGACTCATCCCTACCCCCAGAAATCTCCAGTACTGACAGTTACACACTTTGGTTTTACCTCTGGATTAAAAATTAATCTCTCAGAAAATTAAGTATTTTAGCTGTATTGTGAAATGATAAACCAGCTGAAGCCAGGAGCAATTTGTTTTGTCTCAGTAGATGTGTACCCTGTACATGTGGTTTCAAAATTCAGATTTGCACAGGCATGGTAGTGAACCTGAGATTGTCATATGTGTAATCTTTTAAATACTATTTGGATTTTTTTTTCCTTCTGAAAGGCTCATTGTGGCTATAAAATGGGTATAAGATTATGAGAAACTATTCTAAGTTGAGGTGGTCAAGAGTTTCAATTTGCTGTTTAAAAATATTTAGGTTGTAGATTTGGTGTTTTGTGTTTTCCTAGGCAGCTGTTTATTTTTTAAAAATTGAAGTTAGGATGAAAAATAGTGTGATAAAATGATGAGTCAGGTTGTCAAAAGCCAAAAAATTCTAACAGGTATATAAGCTAGAATAATGCGTATTTTTATTTTTGCAACATCTGACTCATGATTATGTATTCTGCTAAGTTCAAAGTTTTCTTACACAAAGAGAGAGCTATATGAAACAACTATGCTTCAAATAATTTTACTTCAATTGTAGTAACAGGTTTTGGAGTTTAAATCATTAACAACCTCTGTGTGAACTTTTATCCAAATGACTGCAAGTCACAAAGAGAGCACTTCTCTTTCACGGAGTACCTTTTGTGCTTTAGTGAGACCCAATCCCTCTTCTATTTTTTTTTCCCCACCTTCATGTCTGTCTTTGAAGAAAGATGTGTGATTTGTGAAGTAATGAGAGTATGTATCAGTTAATGAAAGCTGCTATCCTGGCTTCATAATGCACACTGGAATTGCTTCAGGATAAAGCTGCCTATACCTGCATTACAGCAGGAAAAAAAAAAAAAGTAAATTTCAGAAGTCCAGATTGCTGTGTGCATTGTAGAGGTATCATGTAGCAGTTAAATCAACCATTAGGGGTGACCTAATCTTGATTTCCTCCCCCCTCCACACACACACTCTCAAGGAGTTGTGATTACCATTCTGCTTGTATTCTTTCCACTTTTTAAAACCTGTACTGGAAATTGTTAGAATACCAACTTGCCCACCTTTCTTTCTGGCTTATTTTGGGTGCTTGTTTTGGCCTGGAGGGAGTTGTGTATAAAGCAGCGTCTCCCTCCCACACTGAATTCGGCCCCTGTGCTTTGTGAAGGGTTAGCTGAGCCCATCCAAGTGAATCTATGGGGTTAGCTGTGTACACCACCACAATTTTGCTTTTCTAACACAGGAAGACAAAACGCCTTGATTAAAAAAAAATAGATTAAAAGGTTGATATTATTATTTTCACTCCCACCACAAACGAAAAGATTACAGTGCGAATGGTCGAGACCCACAAATTCACACACGCACCTTTTTTTTTAAATTTTTTAATTTTTTTTTTAATTTTTTTTTTTTTTTTTTTTTTAAAGAGCGGATTAGCAGCGGGTGCAGGACCGGGGCAGCGCATCCTCCGCCGCCGCGCAGCGCCGCGCCCGGAGCCCGCGGGGAGCGAGGGCACCGTCCCCTGTGCTCCAGCGGGGCGCGCGTGTGTCTGTGCGTGTGTCTGTGCGTGTGCCCGCCCGCCGGGGCTGTGCGGGGGTGTGTGCGGTGTCCCTGCCCGCCCGCGGGCGCGCCGGGAGCGCCGCCGCCGCCGCTGCCCTTTGATCCCGGCGTTAGTGTTAGTTAGGGGCCGGGAGGAGCGCGGGGCGCAGCCCTCGGCACCGCCGCGCCAGCCCTCGCCCCGGCACGGCGCCCGGCGCCCGCCCGCCCGCCGGGAACACATCCCCGGCCGCTGAGGGATACTGCGACCGGGGACAAGCCAGGTGCACGACCGGGTTGCGGGGGGGTGGGGGG